TTAGATCTGCAATTATGGAATTCATCTACGAATGGAACAAGTTGAGGCCTATTGAGAAGAGAAAATTATTTTGCAAGCCTCTACAACTTCCATTGTCTAATGAATTGTGCTATTTGAATGAAAGTCTCAACCATGATAATCAGGTGTGTACGTGTAATATAAATACTCCATTTTAGGTATTGGCAGTCAGCCTATTTTGACATACTGAAACATATTTCAATACATCTGTCAACTGTTGACCTATAGCCACTGTTTCGTGAGATGCTTTTAATCCTACAAGAGTTTTGTTGGCCAACAATCATGCTGTTCTCTCTTAGGGACTGCTGAAGGGGGAAAGCAAGAGGCGTAAAACACCTTTGCCGGAGATAAGCCATCCATTACCATCAAATGCTGCTTGGAGGACAGTCAAACTCCATAGGGGCAATAAAATGAAGAAACTTTACTTACAGGGATGGTCTGATATGAACGAACCACTCTGCAAGCTCTGTCAGACTCCTTGCAAGTATGTCTAATTGACTTCTCTTTTTTTTGTTTTTCTCTGGAAAAGCTTGGCATGAGTTTGTGATTATCCTCAATGGCAGGAAAAATATGGCCAAGACGCCTCAATACTTTGAGGACCTCTTCTGTTGTTTGGGATGCTATGAAGAATATAGCTTACGAACTAGCTATAGATATCTTCGCGAGGTTTGGACTTGGATCATGCCTTACTGCTATATTTTAACTGTATAATATAAATTTAAGGTTCTGTTGGCTAGAAAAATTTCAGAACTCATTACTGGAATTAACATTGGGTGGTGGTTGTTTAGGGGCTTTTTCAAATTGAACGTGGTATTTGTTCCAATTGCCATTTACACTGTCACGAACTCGTTGAGCACTTGAGACTTTTATCATTAGAGAAACGCCAAAACCATATCAAGAAAGTGGCTCCTAATATAGCAAAGCGCAAGAAACTGTAAGTTCTTACACATAATTATCATGTTACATTGCAAATCTGTTGTGGTAAAGTTCTTTATGGCATTTAGTTGTCTATATATTTTCCCCTACTTTTCATTTGCAGTTTTCATCTATATATGATATGCCGTTTTCATCCATTTACATGATAAAGCTATCTCTTTGCCATTGAATACATTTACAAGCACATCCTTGTTATGCGTAACACCAACATATAGTGAACCGCTATAATCATCTACTTCACAAAAGCAAGAAAATGAGCGCGTGGGGTGGCGGCTGGGAAAAAATTTTCCTCGGAAAAAAGTGGCTGTCAAACAGGCCGAAAGCAAGAAAATGGAAAAGATCCATAGAAAAGATGTGCTGTCAAACACTGCCTTACTGTAATGACTGACATATTGTTGAAAGTAAAACTGCAGATTTTTGTTTGACTACTAAATTCTCTCATAATGTTCATTAGAACATTAAAATTTTTTAGGCCATTATGGCGATATTCAATTGCTTTAAATACAATAATTTTTTGTGTATTATCCACTGCTTATCTATGTACTGTGCACTAGAAACTACGTAACCTTTATGGTTATTATCGGATCACAAGTCAAATGTAAATGATAAAACACTAGTATATTTATGTAAATTACACATTATCCAAGCCTTTTTTTTTATTGTATGAATTAATAGCATCTGAACGAAGAGTGTTTCTAGAATAGGGTTTGTACTTAGGTTAAAGATATTTTTGTATGAAGTTGGTCAAGTGAACGCTTCCCACTATTCTAAGGGAAAACTCACCATTAGTACGAACATCATCATACCTTTCGTGCATGTTCTCTTGTGAAATGACTCAGTTGTTAAGATCAGTATTAGAACTTGCAAGTTGCATCAGGTGAACCAACTTGAGTTGTGTCAGATTACTTTCCAAGCCTCCGTATTTGACTGCTGCATCTTTTACAGTGTCTGGTTCGTGTTGATATCCTTTTTCCAAGCTAATTTCTCTTTTCAGTATTTGTACAGCTTTGTGATCTGGCTGTCCGTCTACTATTGCACCCGTAGCCATTAATTTGAAGTGGTCCTAACACTTAGCCATTTGTTCGTTCGTTCGTCATTTATTACTTGAACCATCACCATTTCATCATCTTCTTCAACATAATCCAGATCAATTGGATTCATACTCCCTTAGTCATGACCCAAATCATCAGGAATTGGAACATCATTTAGACCATTGAAATCGTGCTCTTATAACGGAGTAGTTTCTGGAATGTTGAAAGCACCAAAGAATTGGTTGAACTCACCAGTTTCCAACAATATGTGGTAATCCATTTGGAATAGTATATGGAAGAAAGATGTAGAATAATATAATTTCTACTAGAATTGGACACAAACAACTCAAATAAGTAAATTTAGAGATAATAAAACTTTAGATTGCACAATTAAAGAGCTAATATGGAGATTAAATAACAATTTTTTTCTTTTTTAGTGACTTAGATCTAGGAACATGTTTTGCAGTCTGTATTTTTAGCCTATAAACAGGCTCTTGTTTCTACATTTTAACAGAAGATGGAAGTTCTCTCTATGTCACTAAAGTCTTGCAACTTTCAGTAATAGAGAAACAAATTGCCATCGAGCGTGACATTTTAACACAGCCACCAAAAATTCATACCCCTCTTATTCTTTTATCCACATATTGAATAACTGATTATAGGGGTCATTGAAACCGAGGCATATGAATCACTGTCATTACGTTTAGCCCTCCCTTCTTGTTATCTCTTGTGAGCCTCAGGATAATTTGTTTGGTTTTTACAGTCTGGATAAGCTTGTTCATGATCCTACAGAAGGCAATGCGTGGCATGCGGACCACATTATACCTGTCTATAGAGGGGGAGGTACGTTATAGTCATATCTTTGAGATTTATCGTCTTAAGGATAGCTCCTCACCCAATTTTCTTTTATGACAAATGTGTAAGAAGATGATTTAAGTAGAAAAAGAAATTCATGTTAATGTTGTATATCTGTTATATGACCATAAATGTAGAATTTTAAATGATAAATAACAAAAAATCATGATTTGAGGCAAAAAAATGGGGTCTTGCCATTATGAATCCTCTTCTTCCAAGACCCAAGTGGCCTTTCTTTTCCTTTCAAGACCTCTTAATATTTCTGGCCATTTGACTACTTATTTTGATTGGTCATTTGGTTCGGAACTTTGTGAAAAGGGAGGTCGAGCCATGTGATACCACTGCCCTCTGGTTTGAGCCTTAATCTGATAAATTCTTTCTTTTTATTTTCTTGATTTGATTTTCTTCTTTAAGTTCTTCAGGTGAATGCAAGCTAGAAAACATGAGGACCCTTTGTGTTGCTTGTCATGCTGATGTTACTGCTGAACAATGCGCCGACCGACGTAAGATGAGGATTAAGGCAAAAAACCGACTCAAAGGCGTTACGAGTAGCCTCATTAATGATGAAAACCCCAGGCAAATTGATCATGTGTTGGAGGTATGGGGATTATCTCAAAATTAGTGTTCTTTGCTTTAAAAAATAGCGATAATTTATACATTGAACATGGTTTGCATAATAGTATTTAATGCAGCCGGCTTATGCTTGGTTTGGAGATCACCTAATGACCAAGGACACAGATTGTGCATTGGTCTAGACATTGATCTATATTCAGTTCGGATGACTGCAGTTGACGCCATGGTTTTGTTTAATAACATGTGGAGATATGTACCATGATATTTGTAACTGAGTGGCTAGAGCATGAATGAAACTTGATATTTTAAAGATAGAAGTGTATGTATGGAAAAGCTTAAATTATGACTTAAGCAGGCCAAACTTATTTTTTTATTCATATATGTCCTAGGACCCCAACTTAATACCCACTTATTATTCACATATTTCGTAGGATTCATAACTTACAAGCACTTAAAATAAGTCAATGTTACACGCTTAAGTCAATGTTACACGCTTCATATGTTACTTATTTTGACTACCTACTAAGATTTTTTTGCATTTGTAGCGTTTCAAATTTCAGGACTACAAAGAATCGGAAATTCAACTGATGAAAGTGGAGGAGGATGATCTGTTAGTTGAGGTTCCTGGGAGTGCATATTCTGGAGTAAATGTTACTAGAACCGAGAAAAGAAATCAAGAGCAAGTTAAGCCCATGAGTTCTTCAGAAGTTATGTGCTCTGATAGTGAAGCCTCAAAAGTCATTCCCACAGAGACAAGGAAAAACCCAGAAACAGACGATCCCTGTATTCCTGCAAAATCAATATATGCTGATAGCCAAGCATGGGAATTTGTACAATGATAAAGGAAGTTGATAACTGTAAGTTTACATTCAAGTTAAACGTTATCCCGATGCAAAGATTATCCTCCGTCTTGGAAGCTCTTGCAGTGTTTGTGGTGTGTTATATAGTCAAATTACTTTGAAAAGTTGGAACAAATATGTCAATATCTTTTGCAGAAAGTTGCAGCCATTCTTGTTTGGTGCTCAAAACAAGCTCAAAGTAGCTTATATATGCATCAATGTATCAAATACTGATTGTTTTAGTTTGAAAACTGATTTTGAACTAATAAATCTGGACATTCATACTAGTAATACTTGTAGTTGCAATAGAGAACAGTTTCAGTTTAGAAATGGCCTAATGCGACTCCTTACAGGTTATTCAGAGCCTTTCCATTTGCTCCAAATGAAGTCGTTCTTCCAGATATTATTGCTTTGTTACAAGATGCTAATTGTGGCTCGCGATTAAACCCCGAACTAGTATTTATTGCTGAGTCAAAAGATTTTAATTAATGAGAATTGTCATTCTGCTTCAAAATTCAAGATTTTAACTTTCTTTTTTTTAAACCTGAAGGTCATCTGCGTCAATCGCAGTATTACACAACTTCGTTTCAACAATTTGTACGAGAATAAATTTATATGATATAGGCCATTTCAATGCAAGGTCATATAATACCAAAGTTTCTTCATTCCTTCTCAAGAAAATAGATTGTAAAATATGCTGTCCATGAATTCCTTATCAGTTATCCCTCTAAACGTACAAGCTTCCAAATCAATAATCACCTTCGCTTAGCCCGGTTGTTTCAGCTGCAAAAAACTGCTCTGCTTTATTGATGAAGCTCATGGGAAATCTCAACATTAAGGCAGAAGTTTCAGACGAAGATTGACTAGACCCCAAACACGTCTCTTCACAAAGCTTTACAGCTTTGTTTTCTTTCAGGTTTCTCACCTTCATTGTTCTCGTATTATTAGGTGGCAAAAACCCTCTCTGAGGAACTCCTCGACTGCTTCTTAGATTGTTTCGGAATGATTTCTGAGATGCATCAACCGGTAGTTTTCTAAATTCAAGAGCAGTAGGGTTAGATTCACCAGAGTCTTCTGCTGGTGTGCTGTTTAAGGTCGAAATGCACTGACTGTTTTTGCATGATTTGAGCAAGGAAAGGAGCATGTCCACACTGAGTTCCTGCTGAATAACCTCCTTGTTCTGTTCACATCCAAATGAGGTAGCCACTAATGTGCCGGCTAATACTGGCATCAACTCAGGATCACTAAAGAACATGAAAGGCAAATCGCAGACCTGTGCTACAGGTTGGATAAATTAGATTCTTTAATCCAACATTTGAGATATATGTGATATACAACATGTTTGGCTACGTTTGAAAGTACTCAAGTCCCCTTTTAGTAATATGTTGTTTCAAAACACCTTACAAGAAAAAGTTGCTACATTTTGCCAGCAAAGTACGGGTTACTTTCAAAATAAGTTACTCATGGCCAACACAAAGTATTTATACTATAATTTAATATACTATACGTAAACCTACTTAAAATTACATTTTTAAAGCTTGGTGAACGCGCGCGCGCGCGCACACACACACACACACATATATGCAAGACTGGAATTCATTACAAAATCACTGACCTTGTGAAGGATGGTTGGGCTCTTTCCCCAGCGAAGGACAGCTTGATTCTCAGGATGGAACAAGGCAAAGTATCCAAGAAGAACCAAACATTCCAGCAAAAGCTGACCAATCTGAGAAATACATAAACATCGAAAATGTAATCTCTCAAAACTTATTCGTGACCTCCCTAGATTAATACAACAATAATCCACAAATATCGGACTAACAGTAATCAACTGACATGGACCCAACATCACCTTTTCCTTTCACGCGTAAAATGTTTTGCCTTTTTTGATAATTTAGCAAATGGAGGTAGACAAAGTGACTAAATTGAAACAGAAATGAATCTCAGTGAATGTTAAAAACAAAAAACAAAAATGGTGACCAAAGTGAAACGAACTCTATGAGTTGGATTGACTATTATGCCCAAGGATATTCAGTTGGCTAGAAGGATTAGTGGTGAAAGGGCTTAGATTTATTCTTAAATCTTGCAGATGGAGATTAAGTGTAATAAATCTTTGATTTTGGGCTTCAAATTTGAAATTTTAATCGCATATGTAAAACAATTGTGGGAATCTAATGCTTAATGGAATTTTGTGTAATATAGATAAAATCAAAAATCAAAAAATCAGACTTCTTCCCCCATTCATTCTTATCACATGGCCATAATCGCCATCACCACTTAGAGTGAAGAACCAGTATGCCACGGCCACCTTGACATATTCAATTTCATTGCAGGTGGTGGGGGAAGAGGGCTGGTGGCAGTGTTGGGAGTTGTGCAGATGGGGGAGAAGAATGAATTCTTTTTCCTTTTCAGTTTTTTCTTGACAGATTTTTATTTTACTTTTTTTCTCTATAAATATTTAGTTTTATGTAAATGTGTAATAGTTCTTTTAGAGAAATTGAGTTTTTAGCTGTCAAAGTAGCATTCAGTCATGTGGGATCCAACCTCAATGATTAATATGTTGGGGAGTCAAAACTCACTTTTAAAGGTTAGGGAGATAGTGTCACACTAAAGAAAGGTTAGGGAGCTCAGCCTAATTTTTCCAAAATAAAATCAGTTGTCTGAGAGATAAAAGAGCAGAAATGACGTGTTTTTCTTTGGAGTTATTTCTTGACTACTTATTGTGTGACTGAGATTAGAATTGGTATGGAACTAAAGAACTTAAGCACAAGATAAACAGTATTTAAAATTTTTATAGTGAACAGTGAAAAAGAAGGGAAAATTCCAGCTGGGTCCCAAACCTATTTGAAGTAGAGAAATGAGGTCCCCCAACATTTTATTTGGAGCATGTAGTTCACCAACCCTTGTTCTTTACAGCATTTTTGGTCCCTAATGGATGGAAGCCATCAATTTTCACATAAAAAGAAAATTATACCCTTATTTTGAATTAAAAGAAGAAAGGAAAGAAAAATGAAAAAGAAGAAAAGGAAAAGGAAAAAGAAAAGACTGAGATTTGACGGTGGTGCTCCTACACCAAATAGACTGTTAATTTTGATAAGACAAACACGAAAAGAATTGAACCCATACTATTAGTGACACTAGGAGAATAACATTAAGAATACAATACCTGAAAAATTCTGATATATGCAATTTTGAGTTTAAGAAATTGTTTTTAAAGGGAAGGGTTGGAGTTGGGGGGTTGTGAGTGGGTGGGTTTTCAGATGACTAGGGTTAGAGAAGGATTGGAGGTAGTCGATTGCCAGGGAAGGTACCATGGTGAGTTTGGCCCCAGGGGGGTGGTGTTTGGGCAAGAACTAGGGGATAGTGAAGTGGGCGGCAGCAGCAAAATTAGTTATCTAATGATTTGCGACAATTCTTTGTATGTGGCATATGTCTCTGTAGCAATTATATTTAGATTCTAAATTGCTATGCTAGAATTTCAGGGCATGTATTGATCAGCTAGTATGTCCACTCATAAGCTAATTTATCGTCAGAGAAACAAGCGCAATATCACCTTATCAGTAGCTATTTCCCACTTGCTTGTGCAATAAGAAAGAAGAAAACTCATCAAGTGAAAGAACTCCATTTTAAGGTCAGGCAGAGCCTGCAATTATTCCATGACAAGTAAATAATTAACTTCAACATTTCAAAGAAAAAAAATAAAGTAGAGAAGAAGCTGACAAAAAGAAGTTAGTCACCATCCAACTAAAAGCTTCGTATAAAAAGTTGGATAATAGCAACTTACTAGTGTTTTCTGTATGAAAGTAATATCAATTAATGCCAGATTGTTCAACACCTTCAGCACTCCAGTCGCCACTTCCTCAAAATTAGATGGAAGGACATATGAACTCTGAAGAGAAGTAACTCAATTTCAATTATTCAATACCAAACTTGGAAAACTGACAGTCTAGAATGCTTGAGAAAGAACTTTTAACGCTGATCATTAGAAGCTGATCATGTCTTTCTAATTTTTAGCTCTGCTTTAGAGTCTTTTCCATTCTGTATATGCTTCAATTGAGAGAACGATTATGAAACAATCTTAATTATGACAATTAGCATGGTCTCAACTAAGTTTTTCTTCCACTGTGGGGTAAGGGCATAAAAGACAGACGGACAGACAGCTGGCTAGCAACAAACCTACACAAACCATAAATAGGAGCAATCTCGACTTCTTTCAAGTAAAGAGTAAGTCAATGAAATTAATAGTTTAATTAAACAGGGATATACTAAGTGAATCCTAAGCAGCTGGTGCATTGTTTGCTTGCCGATTCAAACGGGGTTTAAAGTTTAAAGTGCATTTCTTCAGTAAAACACATTGTCCATCTGTTTATTATTTTATCTCAGTGTAACAATGCAATGATCTCAAACCTGCATCGACATGCTTATGCCAAGATGAAATGGACATGCACTGGTTTTCTCTTTGTTCAAGATGATAAACCAAACAACGGAAGACAGTCTTAGTATTGATATTTTTGAGAACACAAAACAATTATGAACAGTTAAAACACAATCAGCAAAAATACACTGATGAACAAGGTTTAAAGTGCTGTCTCGGAAACTTGAATTAATTTATTTAACAAAATGGTTAAGGAAAAGAAATATTAGTGAAATAGTAAACAATCCATTGCACATAACATGCATATTAATGAAGGATGTAAGTACCTGTTCAGCAGATAACCGGTTATTAGCCTGCAATAGCACAGCAGTTAACATGGAAGGAAGACAGACTAAACCAGTCTCAGACATTGCTGAGAGAAGAAAGGCTACAGGCTGCTTTAAGCCAAAGTCATTTGCATTCTTTTTTTCTGCATCACTGCTTGAAGAGTTCTTTCCATCTTTCTGAGGGACGGAACCCTCAGTTTTATCATCTGTAGGAATTATTGGAGACTCGTCCATGACCTCTAGAGTTTTGATCTTATAGCTAATACACTCAATTCTATGTGATTTATTGTCAATGAGTACTGGAATATTGTCTAGTGGCCTATCCTCTGGTACATCTGGCAAATTTACAGGTATGCTACCAGTCGGCAGAAAAGGTGAACTATTATATCCAATAGAATCGCATGAAGTGGAAGACCTTGAGGTTGCAGCCTCAAAAAGTTTTGCTTCCCCAGGTGTTTTTCCTGGCATCGTTGCATTTGGAAAAGATTCCCAATCTATTGAGGACACTTCTCCAAATTTGGAAGTCAGAACAGTCAACAAATTTATACTTAGGAGAATAGATGAAGGAAAAGGCGAACCTTCCACCTGTGGCCTATCATATAGTGCAAAAAGATCCCTTAGCCGGTGAATAATTTGGTACTCAATAACAAGCTCTAATAGACCATCCTGCATTCGATGTTGGCGCACATCACAGCTTACATGACCGATAATTGCTGCCACGGACCATAGAAAACCATCTAAAATTTCAGAAATAGTCTCCAAATTTCTAACCGATGTTTTACTTGAGATAAAGTTGGTAGAACCACGGATATTTGATGATGCTGCCATTTTAATATAATTCTCAATTGCGGCAGCCAACATGGGGATGATTGGGGGCAAGAGATTTTGTGCAAGAAAATAACTCCGGTTTGCTGGCACTACAAGCACTACCCTCAGAAGTCTTAAAAGGTATATTGTAACCTGGCAGGCTTCAGGTTTTGATGTGTGAGAAGCAGGTAGAGCAGAAGCAATGAAATCTATTAAACCAGCTTGGCGAGAAGCCTGCAGCTCAGCATCCTTTCCCTCCAAGAACTAATGACAAATGTATGTCTAAACCAATGAGTAAGCAATATTTAATAGAAAAAAGAAAAAAAAACTGAAAAGAGATGATTGAATCAAGAAATAGAAAATCAACATCATAATGCAAAAGGTTTTAATGTTTACATCATAGCAGGAAATTATAGTAGGATAATTATTCATCGACTTGAAGGTTATGTTTTTGTTTTCCAGATAGAAAGGAAAAGTGACATGAAAAGTAAATTAGGATGAAGTCCAATTCGGTACCTTGATTATTTCAGCAGTTATTAGTCCAAAAGTAGAAGCACCTTCTTTTCTTGCTTGGCGAAGTTTTTGCAGTTCCTGAAGCCATCTGGCAATTTTTCCCCTTGCAGTTCCCACAGCAGTCCTATAGCCTATCCCAGAATTTTCAACACCAACAGAAGGCTCAGAAAATTCATGTTTTAGTGACATAAGTCTTTGTCGAATTTTTTTAATTCTTCGCTTCAACGAGTTACGCAACGACTCATTGCCAGTCGCAATACTTGAGCCTCCTGTACAACCACTATTGTTTACCTTATAATCTTCTCCATTACCATTTGGAGTAGATCTGCCTTGAGATTGCCCATCCTTATTCACAGAGCGCCGCAATAAAGGTGAAGATTGATCCCTAAAATCCATTGATGCTCTTTCACGTATTTGTTCAAGATAAAACTTGCGTCGCTGTTCACTTTCACTGAGTCTTTCGGCTAATCTCTGAGCCAGGAGTTCAGCCTCTTCCTGTTGAGCTTTGGCTCGGACCTCCTTTCTTCGCATCTGTTCCATAGCCCTGGCTTCTCGTGCTGCACTTGATGCTTTGCGTTCTTCTTCCCTTCTTACTTGTGCTTCTTCCTTCCTTCGCTGTGTCTCTGCATGACGCTGCAACTTTTCTGCTTCAATGAGCCTTTTGCGTTCCAGAACAGCTTCTTCCCTAGCAATGTCCTCTCTCTGTTTAATTTTCATCACTTGAAGTTTCTCAGCCCTTCTCAATTCTGAATCCTGAAGTTTCTGCCTCAATATAAGCTTTTTATTCTCTTCATTTAGTGATGTGATGAATCGTACCTCATTAACTTTACTGCTTTCATCACCAGCTCTTCTCACAACCTGAGCTAAATATGCTTCATGCCTGGATTCACTACGCTGGTGGCGAGCAAACATCGACTCTCGCAACTTATTGCTGCGAACAGTCTGCCACTCATTCACACGGTTCAGTTTATCTGAAGTTCTTTGAAGCTTTTGTATTCTCTCATTCTCAAGTTGAGTTCTGATTCTAGTGGCTCGTGCATGTTTCTCTTCTGCTTCCTTTTTAAGGTCGAGAGCTGATTTTTTTTTCTTCTCAGGAGACATAAGTTTATCGTGCAAAAGGCGTGCACGATCAGCACTTTTCCTACCCATGCCTGGTGAATAAGAAAAACGGGAAGATACACGATGTGGAGTGCCAAGTATGTCCTCCCAATTCCTCTTCTCTTTCCAGGCATCCATAGATTTCCATGAGTTCCCATTTCTCTTTTCCCCCTCTTTCTCAAGACAAGGAATCTGTCTTTTCAGGGAATCAATTGCTTTGTAATTTTTCCCCACACTATGTTCTGCCAACATTTTTTCTTTCTTAGAAAGTGGTCTATCAGCTTCTGAATCAGCATTTAGTTCCCTATTGATCGGTAACCTGGATGCAGCAGAATTAGACTTCCCTGACTCAATATTTCTCTTTTCTTTGATTGATCTCTGAGAGTTATTTGTGAATCCAGTTCTCTTCCTTTCCTTTGCTGTTGATTCTTTAGAATTGCCTTCTAAATTACTTCTCTTAGCATAATTATCGCCTTCTAAATTACTACTCTTAGCATACTTCTCCAAAACATTACCTGATCTGGAATGGCGACTATAAAAATCAGCCCCCAGTTTCTCAGCACTGTTAGCATGTTCCCTAGTTCTCTCTTGTTGTATTTTCCTAAAAGCCTCAAGAGATGAAGAAAGTATCTCTGCCCTGTGCGGTGAAGATGTCATTCGACGGACCTGCACTTATGTAATACAGTTAAGGCTTTCAGACAATGCAGAGACAAGGTAATGGAGAATGAAAAGAAATATCAGGCATTGCATGGACAATGAAGTCAATAAACTCTTAGAGAATAAAAGGAAACCATGAACAGATGCTTTTCAGAGAGACTAATGCACAAATGTCTCGAGTGAGATATCTTTACTAAAAATGCACTTCATTTTTTTTATATTTGTTAAGATTATGTATTTTACTGTAAATGAACAAAATTAGTTTTACAGCTCCATTTATATTCGGTGAAGTGCAATAATTTCAGCATGTAAGCATAAAGAAATGAAATATGAAGAATTTGAAACGACACGAGACAAATTACAAATCGCATAAACTCTTTGTGCAGAAGTATCTATTAAAAGTACATTATAAAGGAAGATGGAATAAAGCAGTCATGTCTACAAATCTACAGCTACAAGGAAACCTAAAATATAAGACATTCAAATCAATAAGAATGCTAACCTCCCATGAGAGGGCATGTGGTCTGCGGTGATCAGACTGCATGACCAAAGGTGCCCCTGCAGTTACATGACAAGAGGACTTTTTCAGTTTCTCAAACTCCTCAACTCTGGAATTCAGTTCTCTAAAATCTGATGCAGCTTCTTCAAGAACAAGAATGGCCTCTTTCATCTGCTCATTATCGCATTCAAGTTCACACAAAAGATAGAGTTCATCTACAGCCCTATTAAGGCTCTCAAAGAGAAAGCACCAAAGGCGTTGCCTGAATCTTTCTTTACTTTCAAACGTGTCATCTGAATCTATAGAATTCAAATTTTGGGATTCCAGTAAATCCTCAGAAATCGAATCACACTTCTGATCCCTAGACTCTTCCACAGAAATGGTTGGGATAGACTCTGCCTCACTTCTATGTTCACTTTTCTCAGGTGGCACTACATAATCTTTGGAGCAACCAGTTTCAGATTTCAAACCAAGTGTTTCCATCATTCCAACCTCTTCAATGGCAGCACGTGGAGTATTTTCACCGGACAAATGGGAATCGTCATCAGTTTTGCTCTTAACATGTTCACAATCTACCTCGAAATTAGAAGTAATAGTATTTTGACTAAGTATTATCTCACTTGTAATTTGTACTTTCACATCCTCTGAAGATACCTCATTCTCCCCATTACGGTCTTTGGCAAAAGAAATTGTCAATGGGGAGAAAGAGTGAGACTTTGGAAGATCCTGATTTTCATCTACTATTGCCCCAATAAATTTGTTGTCCTTGCTATCAATTTTGGAACATGAAATAGATTCATCAGCACTGTCAGATTTCATACAGACCAAATTATGATTATCAATCCCACCTAATTTAATTCCGGCCTCGTAAGTGTTACCATAATGCATTATCAATGTTCCATCATCTAAATCACCCCACTTGATTTTTGGAAAGACAGTATTCTTCTGAGTACGTTCTTCATTGACAACTACTTTACAATTAGAATCTTGGATTTCTGTAGCTGCTAAATGAAATGATTTGGAGTTTCCATTATCTTGACTGACAACACATTTATCAAGGCAATGAACAACCACCTCATCTTCAGTTGAAATAGAAGAGGAATTTGCAGCACTATTGAGACCATGTACAGTACTGTCTCTACCAGCATCCGGAGCAAACTTGTCTTTGTAGTGGTTTACGCCCGATGGAAGCTGGGTGTTCATATGAGTAGAATTTTGTTTTCCAGAGAGTCCTCCAACCAAACCATGCTGTGGGAATTTTGATTTGCTTCTATATTTCTGGACAAGAAGTTCATGAAATTTCTCAAAACAAGCAAGTGAAACTAAAACAAATCCATAAATTTCATCAAGATCATATGAAAGCTCCTTCTTTGTTATTAAAAAGAAAACATCAAAAGACAAATCCTGAAATGAGTAGCAACAAGAAGAAATGGGATTTAGAGTGTAGAATGCAAAAAAATGGTAATGGGGATAGATGATAATCGACCTAGAAGATGAGATAAATTATTGAATGCATTAATTTCTTCAACGGACCAACCCAGAAAGCCATCATACCTACTAGAAATTAGACACAATTGGTTAACGACACCAATACTCTCAATTCCAGACAGAACTAATCAGGAACAGGCATACTCAGAAATTACATCAGAGTTGAGGCATCAAATATATAGTGATGTACTGGGGATATCTTTTTTTTTGAAAGGGGATGTACTGGGGATATCAAAAACAAATTCGTTCTTGCCCGTAAATTATGAATGTGTAGGATCAAAATTCAATTGACATTAGTTTATCCTCATCTAGCTCAACTTTCCATGCGAAAAATAATCGGTACACAATATGAGCATCAGCCCACATCTTTCAAACAAAAAAATAAAGTAAAATTGAACAAATCATATAAATAAATCCCAAGCTAATACACATGTAAATGCATTATCTTTTCAAAAATCAAATAATCCTCATTCTTTGATCCTTCTAAGAAATTATTGGGTAAAAATCATACCTTTTTGACTTGCATCCATCCAGAGCCTTGATCATCCCCTCCACTGCTCTCCATCAAAACCACACCGCCCTATATATATTTTTTCTCCCAAAATCAATAATTTAAATAAGACTTATGTTTTACAACAACTGTACAAGACCATTAATAATTTGCACATAAAGTTAATGTCTGGCCAATAAAAACAGCAAATTGTCCCAAAAGATTCACACTGCACTTTCAAAAATTTCAACGTAAGACACTAATAATGATTAAGAAAAACATGGGTTTTACAAAATTCTCGAAAAATGGGATTTTAAACATAATATTATTGCACGGATTGAAAGTTCAATGTTTAATCAAACTGGAAAAATAAAAATAAAAAATCCAAGAAAATGTAAGAGATATCAAGAGCCCAAGAATGCGTAGTCTAGAATTGCTTTAATATTTTCTCGGGTTGCTTAAAATGGGAAATTTTGATCGACAGAATGTGAGATGGAATACTGAGTAATTTTATACAAGAAGCTGCTGTCGGCACATGATATGAGGAGAAACAAGAAAAAAAAAAGTG